AAAGACTGATCATGTCACTTTTCGCCAAACAGAAGCTCATGTCTTGGTATGTAATATTTGCTTAGAAAAATCCAGATTATGGAGTAAGATCTGAATAGACACAGCCCAGAGTATGTGGAGCAGCTTATTCAATGCAGATTTTTATAATGATAAGTGATTTATTAGTGGGCTCTAAATAGAGATCTCCTAGAAACAGCTGGGAGCCCTATGCCTGCAAAATCAGGGCCCTGGTTGTTACAGGAACAAGATAGTTATTAACACCATAACATTATATTGTTTATAATGGCAACCTAAATTTATATGAAAGTACTCTGTGATTTTGTTTTTTGTTCAAACATTGATTTCTGAAGACCCAATATAGAGAGAGATGTTGAAAATACCAGAAAGCTACAACTGTCCATGTGAAGTCCTTAAGTTTGTGAATGTCAGTTCATTAACGCAAGATGTGCACTTCATTGTTTCTTTTTTTAATTTTCAGTTTTTCTTTAAACTCAATACAGTTTTATCCCCATAAAAAAATTATTTTTATCAAATACAGTATCTGCTTTGCTCATCCCCTCTTTTGCAGAGTTCCAATACAGCTTCATACTTGTGTTTGCTTCCTGTTTTATACAAACTTTGTTTTGCAGTCCATTGTTTCATCAGTCATTCTTTTCTATTCCATTTTTTCTCGCTTTTCTTTTTCCCCTCCTTTTTCTTTCTGTTTCTTTGTTTTTATTTTAAATTTAAGTTGGAAAACACACTGGATCGTCGAACATCTTTTGAGAAATTCACACGCAATGTGGTAAGTTTGTTGCCTCGGAAGATTAGTAAACCTGATGGGACATCCTACTCCCCTCCCCCTCACTGATCCCTACTTTCCCTTTTTTGCTTTTCTAAACTGCCAGTTAAAAGTGTATTTATCACAGTTTGTGAATTTCCCTAGGAATGACAGCTTTATACTGTGCTTTCATTACAACCCCTCCTCCCTAGACCCATTCCCAGTGACCTCAATAGTCACATGTGGAGGAATGGGCCCTGTGGGAGCCACTATTTTTTTTTTTTTTACTTTTTTTTTTTTTTTACTAATTGTAGTAAAGAATCTCTGAAAATATGTTTGATGTTGTTACTTTTTCTGCTGCCTCCCAAAATACTAAGTCTGACACAGTCTGAATAAGTTGGATTTCCTTTGTGTCTCCTTCTTACTTTACTAAAAAAGTTTTTCCTATTTTTTTTTTTTTTTTCAATTGGACACAGGCGAAAAACCAAACAATAATTTCTCCATCTTCCTTAATGTCTAGCACAGCTTCTTCAGGACAAAAGAATTCATGCTGAAGTTGCAGAAGGGTTTAATTTGGATTTCACTTTGACTGTGGACTACAAGAACTGATTTTTATTTTTTAATATATAATTTTCAAAAGCTATTTCATGAAGGTAAAAAAAAAGAAGGCTGGTAAATTTGCTGTGGATAATCTCTTTCCACCTGCTAAAAGTTCCACTGATTTCCTGATATGTGGGATTCTTTTAACTTATCAGTTTCTTTGGATTTTTTTTAACGTTGTGAAAGGTCAAACTAAAGCATTCAACGCATTTATTTTTGTAGGGCAGAAACATCCCTATTTTCCCATGCCATAAAAACTGTACACCAACACTGAGAGCGAGCACTAACCTGTTATGAAAAGAGGTAGAAAGATCTTGGATTATACTCAAGTTTGTCTGCACTGTCTGTTGAATTGTGCAGGTGGTGCTGCTGTGTGTGCGTGTGTGTGTCTGTGGCTTTTCCTGTGACCTGGTTAGTGGAGCTGTGTGTGTTGAAGTGAAAAATGTGAGAGCTTTCAGCAAAGATCATGGTTTTTGTTTTTTAGTTTCTAGGGAGGGAGAAGCAGTTCTTAGAAACTGCCTCCCAAATAATAAGGCTCAAGATTATTTCCTCAAGTATTCAAACTATATATATATATTTATATATATATATATACACACTTTCTAGCAATCAAAAAAACAAAACAAATGCAGTGAAAAAACAAAGTTTTGTGAGGCTGTGGGAATATCTCACATGTGAAAACAAAACTGTAATTATCTAACTACTTTCCTATAGGTAAAGGCTTCCTGTAATATGGTTTGAATCCACTGTAATCAGGAGGAAATTTTGATTCAATGGGATAAAGTCAGTAAAGGACACTAAAAAGTAAATAAACAAAGGAAACTATCCCAATGTTTGAAACAAAAACCCCTATATTTTGCATGGTGGTGTTGCCATAGCATGTTGCAGTGTGATTTGTGTGTTGTCTAAGCAGGTTGATCTATAAAACAACATTGTACATGCTAACATTATACATGATAAATACATGATAATTCCATAGGAAGTTCCATATTAATTAAAGAACCTGTGACAATAAAAGAGAGTGCAGAGAGTAGGTAGTACATCTGGGATCTCAGAGAGCCAGGCTTTTTCCCTTTTGCAGTGCCTGGCAAGCTCCAATAACTACATTTATTCATAGGAATTTAAACAGCCCACAGCTCAGGAATTGGTTATGATAAAGAGTACATAAACGAGTGGCTATGAGAGAAATAGCATGATGCAGACAGATTTGAAGAGAATACAGCACAGAAAAGGAAAAAGACAGGCTGGGAGGCACTGAGATGGTTCTTTGATAATCCCTCTCAGAGCAGCATTACTGATAAACCAGCAGTTCTGTGTGCAAACACTGGGGCATTATGCCCTGCAGGCATGCCTGATCTTCATCGTGCTAATCTCAGGACAGAAGCAGCAGAATAGCAGGATGCCAGAGATGCAAAGCAGGCCAAATAAACCAGCTGTGAGCTAGAAATGGGAACAAGGATTTTGGGATGTGAAGCATTAGTCCTTCTTCAGTACAAGAGGGCAATTATTTTTTTCATGCCGCAAGCTAGAAAATAAAAGTTGTGGGTTTGCTTTTTTTTCAAACTACTTCCTGTGAATCCAGGTGGAGTCTGTCAAGTCGGGTCAGGTAGGAAAGTAAAATATGCCAGTGCTGGATCTGTATTTTCTATTACATTGGCAGCTCTGAAGCTTGCAAATTAATAAAAAATGTCAGGATGCTCAAGTGCAAATCTTTTCTGCAAGATGACCGAATTCACATAACCCATAGCCCCAGGACCCCTTGCCAGCAGGCATCCTTGTGCTTCTCTTCTTGTTATCGGTTATGATGACTTTATAATATGTAATTATCTACCTTGATACTGTGGTTCCAACCAGCAGGGATGAGGGAAATGTTCCTCAGAATATCCTACGGTGTACTGATTAACTTGTTCAACTGTGAAGTGAGGGACTGTGGTATATAGATCTATTCTGATGAATACAGAAAATAGGTGAGAAAAGGGTCTTCTACAACCTGGAGAAATGCTGCCGTCTCTTTATGATACAGTAAAATGAAAATTACAGTTTCTTTTCTCCTCTGATGGTTTAGAAAATTTAGTCTAACTTTCACTGTGGTGTTTTTGTTTGTTTTGTTTTTTTCTTATTTAAATCAAAGTGGGTTTACATTTAGCTAAATTAATCCTCAGATTTTTCCATTTGAAGTGTTCAAAAAGACCCAGTAACCTTGGTTGTGTCTAGGGACTGAACCTAAGAAGATGGCCTTCTAATTTATAACCTGATTTGTTAAGATGGAGACTATAAGAGGCTCCTGATCAGTGATGATTGAAAGTGGGTTATACTTGCTACAGAAAGCATGTGTTAAACTAGAAAGTTTAGAAACTTTGTAAGTGCAATCATTCTGTACTACTGCTTGAATTAAGTGGAAATAACCTAGTATAATGAGTCGTTATTCTAGTCTGATGGGGAAAAAATAAAAATGGAGCTATGTTCACAAAAAAAAAACTTAGACTCAGCTCTGCCTTTCTTTGACCTTGGAGAGTTTTCTTTCCAGAAAACTTTCAATTAGTTGGTGCACTTTATGAAGGCCTTAAATGCTCATCTTGAAAGCAGTGGCTATTTAGAGTGTTCTGTGCATTTTAAAGTACAAAGTTGCAAATGCCTTTGGCAGTCTGCAACACACAATATTAATTCTATGAATACAGAAACAGGTCTGGATTCACACACAACATAGATAAAGTAACAGCAAAATGGCATTTCCTATATGTAATATTTATTACCAAACACTTTATTGTTAGTCTCTGGGTAGTAAGCACAGCTATTCTTGGTTTGCCTCACTCACAGTCCCAGGTGTTGTGTGAAAATAAAGAGCACATATGCTTTGGCACTACTGGAATGATGCCACTGGATAAGTGGCCTAGGAGTAACACGGGCAACCACAAGTGTCACAGCTCTGACTCAGAGGCATGGGAAGTGGTGGTGACACTGTGCTCTGTGCTCCCCCATGGTCAGCTCAGCTCCTTAGGTTTCTCTTTGGGAGTAATTAAGGTCTAGTCCCCTAAGGGTCCCCAAGGAAGCAAGTAGGGAAGCTAAAGGCATAAGTCAAGGAGCAGGGGAATCTCATTGCTTGCTACAGTAGTAGAGAGAAGGAAATCAGCTGTTTCATTGTCATTTAAAAACTGAAATCCTTTCCAGGAATGTACATAGGGAAAAAAATCCATATTAAAAAAATATGAAAACATATTTTTTAAATCAGGAAACTTCCTCTACCTCAAATACTAGCATCTACATTACAGAATTTAAAAAAAAAAAAAAAAAAAAAGACCAAAAAAACCCCAAACAAGTGACAGTGGCAGACACCTTTATGAGCTCTATCCTGGTGCTTAGCTGCCACCATGGGTCTGGAAGCCTGAAACAAAGGGATCTCATTCACAGGGTAGTGGGCTAATTTCATTTCACCCCATGTAAATTTTCTTATCCCACCAGGAACAAAGTGGGGCAAGAAGGTGCAGTCTCCCTCCCCAGAGCTGCCTGGGAGGAAACACTTCATCATCACGTATTGGTGTTATGGTTCCCGATACCACCATCAGTGTTAGAGTTTCATCTGTTGCTCCAAATTACAGAGAAGACAAAAAAAAAAAAAAAAAAAAAAAGTGCTTCTAGCACATTTGTGATGTTTTATGAAAATACAGCCAGTACAAACCCAACCACATTCAGTTCATAAACTAGACAGCCATCACATGATAATTATCCTCAGTCATCACCTCATAAACAAGACCCCCACTTAATAACTCTCAGTTTAAAACCATTGTATCTTACATCACCCCATACCCTTTCCAGCTGCCTTCTCCCACTGAGCTGGAAGAACTCACTTACCAGTGTTCTTTGATATTTTCCCCCACCAAACTAGTAACAGTAGACCATTTCATGCATAAGATGTGAAATGTGAAGTCCATTGAACATAGCACATTTTCACAGAAGCTGAGTTCAATGTCTCATAACATGACATAGCAAGTTATGGTCTAGAGATAGAGACTAAAACTGATAAAAATAGCTTCCTCAGTTGTTAGCAGTGTGGGATATACTTTCTAGATGCTTAAACCTGAGTAATCTCTTGTCATGTTAAAAGCTGTCCCTTTAGTAAAGAAATTTTCTTATGTGAACAAGTAAAGCCTTTGTACACAAGAGCCCTACTGTGCCAGACCCAAAGCCTGTCTAGCCCTGAAATCCCACCAAGGCCTCTATTTTTCTTGAGGATGGGATTGTGAATAAGCTTCAATGAAGTAACAGCTGCTGGATTTCATGTTCAATGTACAGTCAGGAAAGAAATGTCAATTAGACTTTTGAATTTACTTACAGGTTGTTCCTAAAATTTAAACAAAAAAATAGCTAGTCAATAAAAGAATTCACAAAATTTCTTATTTGACAAATGAAAATAGATTTAAAAAAATAATAAGCATTTGTAGAAATTGAGGCTTTTAACATTTCAGGAAAGATATACCTTATTACTGTTTGACTAAAAAGAAGTGATAAAAAATTGACATTTTTACTTTGAATAAATAATTAGTTAAAAAAATCTAGTTGTAGGGGTTTTTTAGACATGATGCCCAGGCTAATGAGAAGAACAAAAAAGAGCATCTGTAGGACATCCACCAAGGACTGGCCTCCTTGTCCTTTTCTGCAGTGGCTGGACCTAAGCTGCTGCGCTCTGTGCTGGAGAAGAGCTGAAGAGTAGCACTTGCACAGCCAGGTTCATCTGAGCGAGGAGCCAGCACTTACTGTTCAGGTACTAGGCCAGTGTCTGCCATTTCCCAGATGACAAATACTTACCTGAGTCTTAAGATGTTTGCAGTAATGAGAACTCTGAAGGAGCTGCAGAGAGGCATAGAAACCTGAGGGATCAGGCCTAGGACAAATATACTAAAAATATTTGTCTAGTGCATTGGTGCCTTGGAAAATTTTATGTGTGGCCCCCACACTTCAGACAGTTATGCAAGTTCAAACTACCCCATCCGGCAAGAGTTTCTAGGTTAATCACAGATGAGAGCAGCTCATCAGTAAATGTAAAGATTACTGCAAAAGGAGAAAGAAATTTGGACTGTCATCCAATTTGAAACAAGCCAAAATAGGAATGCGGTCACTCAGCTGCTGCCTTCCGTCTGTGGACCACTCCAGGACAGGGTACGACTCTAATGAGAAACTGCAAATCCCTATGATAGGCAGAAGGATTTTCCTGCACATGCAACTACTTAGTGCTGCAGCTGTGCTGACAACTTGTGCCCCAAATTCAGTTAATGCTGATCTCTTT